ATTACGACCCCAAAGAGGGAGCACCCCGGCTGACTTGTGCTCGGCAGCCACGGCCACGGCGCGCCACACGTACGTGTGCACCAGCCTCACTTGGGAATTTCCCATATGTGACCTCACACCCCCCCCCCCCCCCCGGGGTTGGCACCCGCCCTTTCCAAATCCCGGTTTTTTAAACCCCGATAATGGTGACTCCTCTCTAAAAAATCCCAACCAAGGGTGAATTTTCTGGGGGAACCCCACCCCCACCCCCTTGGTCGCAATGGGGGCCCCAGGGGTCCCCCCCTTTCAAAAAAATGGCTTTCCCCCCGGGACCCTGAGAGGAAAACCCCTAAACCCCCCAAAAACCGAAAAAATCATCAAAACTTTTCTCCCCCCCCAAACCCCCCCCCCCCCCCCCGGGACTTGACACGCGCCATTCACAAGTCCTGTATTTTAAACCTCGTATACTGTTGACTCGTCTCTAAGAAGTCCAATCGACGGTTGATTCTACTGCGGAACCTCAACCTCAACCTCCTTGCTCGCAATGGCAGCCACAGGCATCACGCCGTTACAAGAAACTGCCTTCCGCCGCGGTACCTTGAGAGGAAAGCCACTAACCGCCCAAGAACGCGAAGAACTCATCAAACCTTTCCTCCCCTCCGAACCCGCCACCTCCTCCGAATCAGAATCGAGAAAAAGGAAGGCAGCCCGCGACCGCAAACGCGTAGCTCAACAAACCAAGCGCAAGCATGGACCTGTCAAGGTCTTCGTACACTTTGCTGTATACCACTTCATCGCACTGCTTTTCAGCATCTTCTTCCGCTTCCGCCGCGCATACCGACTTGTACGTGGGAAGATAGTCTCGCTGCTCAAGTACCACCATCGCACGCCCGAGTTCATTGCCCACGATGTCAAACACCTCGAGAAGATGCCCAAGCACCTTAGCGTAATAGTCGAATACCAAGAAGATGATGGCAGCCAGGGAACAGCCGGGCTTGAAGGCCTCGTAAACGATGTATGCGAGATTGCAGCGTGGACGGCCAGTGCAGGCATCCCATTTCTGAGCGTGTACGAGAGGACCGGTGTGCTGAAGAACTATCTCCCCCAAACACACGCCAGTATCTGGAGCACTTTGGAAGCTTACTTTGGGCCTCAGCGGAAACCCTCGCTCTCCCTTCGCGCGCCCCACTTGAGTTCTTATTCTCCGCCGAACACGCCTCTTCAGAATGCAGAGCTCAATGAAGGGGCCCCAAAAGAGGAGCGACAACATCTGACGGTTCTTCTCCTCTCTGAACACGATGGTCGCGACACTATAGTGGATTTGACGCGCACACTCGCTGAGATGGCCCAGAAGGGTGATGTGCAACAAGAGCAAATCAACAGTGATTTGATTGACGCCCAATTGAACGACCACGTCTCGAGCGAGCCTGATTTATTGGTTTTGTTCAGCCCGACTGTACAATTAAAGGGATACCCACCATGGCAACTTAGGTTGACAGAGATCTTGTAAGTTGCCAAGCTATCGACACTCTAGATACGACCACTAATCCACGCCCAGCCATCTACCAGACAACAAGGGTGTCAACTACCAAGTCTTCCTCAGAGCGCTCTACAACTTCGCCAAGGTTGAAATGCGCCTTGGAAGGTGACCACATCACACATTCTTCTGTTATAGATTTCGTAGTTTCCAAATACCCAAATTCAATTCAGCTATCCACTACGTGACTCATTGACATACCGTCTTCATTCAAGCAAGTGCGATCTCGTGGTTTGTCAACGTGTAAAGTGTACTTGATATAGAGGACACTCAGTCTGATGTTGATCCAGTCATCCCGCCACATCACGTAAAGTTAACCAAGAATGGATAATTTGGAGGTATCTTAGATGTGATAGATGGTGCTATCAACACCATATCTTTATGCCCACTGCGACTGCTTTTGTGCGTCACAGCCATCGAGTAGTGCACCTAACACCTGTATTCGTTGTAGGTCATCAAGTACATCATCCACCCCACAAAAGAACCCATGCAACCGAGACCCAGACCATTTACTTGAGGGGAATGAAACGGGAAGAGTGAGTGGCACCAATACCGGGCCTTCCGTGCTTGACGGGCTTGCTGTGTGAATGTTAGCCATCTCTTCAACGTCAAAAAATCAATTTCTTAGGAGGGAATACGCACTATGAGATGGAGAATTCTCCGAGGTAGTGGCCAACCATCTCGGGCTTGATTTCGACCTGGTTGAACTCCTTTCCAGAGTAGACACCAATGACGCTGCCGATCATCTCGGGAACAACGATCATGTCACGGAGGTGGGTCTTGACGAGGTCGGGCTTCTCGTTGGGCTTGGCCTCCTGCTTCGATTTCCGGAGCTTCTTGATGAGACCCATGGGCTTGCGCTTGAGACCGCGGTTGAACCTACGGCGGGCACGGGCGTGGACGAGATCACGGAGCTCTTCTGAGCCAAGGTCCAGAAGCCTTTGTATGTGATCAGTATATTGCAGCGAGTTTTTTCATTTTCAGCGCAGGCGACCTGTCACTGAGTTCGGAAGGACGTACTGGTCAAGGTCGACACCACGGTACGAGAACTTGCGGAACGCCCTCTTTGCCTTAAGAGCTGTGAATTATATCGTCAGCCCAAACTCTCTCTTGTTGTGCTTTTGTCTCCTCCGCCAGCGCATCTTTCGCGAATTGATTCGAGGACATTGTCTAGCGATGTGCGATCGATTGTAATGGTACGAGGAAAAGGGTTGGGTCGGGGGAAGGATAGAGCATACCGGCAGCCTCCTCGGCGTTCTGTGTCGCAGTTAGCATCCAGTGATTTCCATTTAGTACAGCCAACACATACGTATTCTGTGTCAGCCATGATTGTAGTTGTCGAAGTAGCTAGACAGTTGACTTCGGAGGGGTCGCAAGGTAGTTGTCGGTCTGTCTTGAAATCGATATTGCGGAGTGTGCTGACAGGAGGGTGCTAAGCGAGCCAAGACGCGCGAATCTAGGTCACGTGCGAAAGGGCTCTGGAACATCACCAAGGGCACCATCGTTGGACAAAGGATACAGCCTCTTTTGTAATTTGCGTGAAAACGATGTACAATTCTAATTTCAGATTTGATTGAGATTCCATGTATGAATACTGCACCGGGTCGTGTCTGACCGTGACTGAGGCTCCCAGTGCTTTTCTCTTCGCCCTCGCACCCTGAGGAATAACGCAAAAATTAGTCAAATGAAATTCCCGAATTAAGTTTCCGGTTACTGTATGGATTTCTGCATCATTCCAATGGTCACTGTCAAACTCACGACAAAGTCTCACGAAGAGGAACAACATATCACTGAGGGTGCATGGCATCAATTCCGGGTGTCCTAACAAGTGCATAGAATTGCACTGTTGTGAATATTTTCTCCTCCTCCCATCAACCGCTCGCACGACACCGCCCAATGCTCGTAATCGTTCCGCATGATTCTCGTGATAACCGAGAGATTGACCAGATCATACTTCGTAGACGTGTGACGCATGACGATACGCTTAGTCGAAGAGACCGAAGCCCATGTCGTCGTCGGACTCCTCCTTCTCCTCTTCCTTCTTCTCCTCAGCGGCGGGCGCGTCAGCAGCACCACCAGCAGCAGCGGCGCCACCAGCGGCGGCAGCACCGCCACCGGAGCCACCAGATGGAACTGAGGCGAGCTTGGCAGATCCCTCAGAGATCAGCTATTGTGTGTTAGTATACGATCATGATAATGCGCACCCAGAACAATGCTAACCTCGTTGATGTCCTTGCCGTCGAGCTCGGAGATGAGCTTATCAAGACGCTCATCGTCGGCCTCGATGCCAACAGAATCAAGGACGGCCTTAACATCGGCGGCGGAAGGGGAGGCGTTTCCACCGAGACCCAAGAGGAGGTATGCCGCGAGGTGCTTCATTTTGACTGTGTTGGGTGGTCGATTGGGAGGAACAGGAGTTCAATCGATTTAACCTGTAGTTATAAGTATTCGCCTTGCAAGTATTGTATGAAGGGGAATTTGCATACCGTGATGACGGAGACTGAAGCTTCAAGTTCTAGTCGTGTTTGTCGTGCGTAGGAAAGTTCGGTCGCTTGCGAATATTGATGTGGTGGGATTTCGACGGACCAACGCTAGACCTATCTGGTCAAGCGCAGATCGCCGCGTTCAGACACGTGATAGGGCTTGGTCAAATAGCGAAGTATAAAGCAACCTGTCTGCGCCTTTGCTTTGCGCTCAGTCTCCTGGCCGCCCACCCATTTAATATCTCGTACTCGCCTCCCCGTGCGCCGTCTTCGTCTGCGCTTTCCTCCGCGCCCCCCCCGACTACATATACCGGCGACTTTTCCACTTGGAAAGCATGTACAACTTGCTCTCACATCGATTCGGCTGGTAACACTGAGTCAACCGCTTATCAGTCGCCCAATATGAGTGTGAGCACTGCGCGCCCAACCGCGCCCTTTTCTGTATATTAATGTACTCTGTTTAGGCTTTCAGGGATCTGATGTCTATAGTAGACCCTTCAGCTCCAAAGACATCCACTACATCCAAGCCAGTCGCACCCGCTGGAGCGTCCAAACCGGTGTCGCGACCAGCTGGAGGGGCAAACGGTGCTTCGCCGTCGCCTCAGCTAAAGCGCAAGGCATCTGGTTCAGTAGAGAGCAGCCAGGCCAAGATTCAGAGGAAAGAAGCTGCTAGTCAGACCACAGCGAACGGAGTTGTACGTTCCACGTCAACACCAGCGGCGCTGAAACCGACCCCTGCGCCGGTCACCACAGTTCCATACCGTGGGACTGCAGCCCCATCCTCCATGAAGACCACAAGTCCGGCAGTACGCAAGCCTCCTACACCAGCAAGCGCCCCAACAGCCGCTTCTAAGGCTGCAGCTCCAGCTCCGAAACCCGCTCCGGCATCTACCGGCGGAGCTCCGGCATCCACTGCAGCTCCGAAGAAAGGCTATTTGGCTCTATTACAGAAGGCGAAAGAGAAGGATGCGACAAAGCCCATTGCCCCCCCTATCAAGCACGAACCAACCAAGATTCTAACGAAGAAAGAGCGGTTGGCCCTGAAGGCAGAGGCCAGTGCAGGTGCCAAGGGAAAGAAGCCTGTTGCTGGACTACCTTCAAAAGCAGTTGATTCCAAGGCCGATGCATCAAAGCGGAAGCCCATTGAAGTCGGCTATCAAGGGACAGCGCGACCCGCCAAGAAGCCTGTCGAGGTGGGTTATAAGGGTACCGCTCGACCCGCTAGTGCTCCAGCATCATCAAGTCGGAATGGCACACCGGCTGCAAAGGCTAAGCCGGCTCCAGGCAAGGGACGCTACGATGGATACGCCGATTGGGATGAACTCGATGATTTGGAGGACGATGAAGAAGACTACGAATCCGATGCCTCCTCCGTCATGGAGGGTGGTATCTGGGATGTCGAACAAGAAGAGCAACTTGCCCTTAAGGTTGCAAAGAAGGAGGATGCTGAAGCGCTGGCCGAGGAGATGAGACTCAAGCGTGAAAAAGATGCTCGGAAGCAAAAGCTGTTAGCCATGTCAAAGGCAGCTGCAGCAAAGAGGAGATTTTAATATTGGGCTGGAGTAATGGTTTACGACTACACGGACGGGCATACCAGTTTTGGGGCGTTTCATTAGCATCTGCATAGCCATGGGTCAGCGGAACAGTATTTGTTTTCATCAAGGCGCATATTTGTTTGTCCATACCCAAGGCCATAGCCATGCCTTTCAAGTGAGTATATGACTTCGACTAGTGTAGAGTATCAAGGCTAGCAGTGATCAAGCCTCTAGTCTCAGAAAGGAAGATCGGTACATACATTCGCCTCTTCGACCACAACCACGCCAGAGTGTGAAATGTCCGGCATCGAACGCGTGGAGCTTTCATTCACGATCCATGCCCTTCATGCTTTTAGCAGCACGAGTGCCACTCTGGCCAAGTGGACGGTCGCTAACAAACCAAACATGTAACAACAGCACATTAACAAACAATTACGACTGTCTGGCATTGACAGCTCACAGCCCAACTCATAAACTTCGTCGGTCGACATGATCACCAAGCACCCATACAACTATACTATATCCCCCTCCACTTGCCAACATCCTTTAGATAATAACGCCCGTAACGCCAAAGACATGCCCGCATTCCTAAAGCGTCTTAACAGTCGGTTCTCTGGTCGCTCTGAGCGTACCCACTCCTGTTCAACACCATCGCTACAGCAATACGTAGGCAGTGCGAAAGCTGGCGACGATGGCCGTTACTCTACCGACACTATCTACACCAAACCAAGCAGCAGCCGCACTTCCCTCGTAGCACTCCCTGTAATCACTGACAACGGACCACCCGGCCGCAACCGCTATGTAGACGACGACATCTTCTGGAACAGCGTGATGCTTGAAGCCGACCATGATCCCCCGAAGCGCTCATCGTTACCCATGAGTCCAGGGCAAAAGCCGGGCTTTTATAACATCAAGACAGTGACCAATGTAGACGCGAAGGATCCGCTTCGCGGATTTCAGGACACAATGAGAGAAGAAATCCACAGGGAACACTGTCCCAAGCCACCTATACGACGACACTCTGCTTGGCCCACAGCTGGGCTTGGAGAAAGTGCTATTCCTCGCGATGAGATCAGGCGGAGTAAGACAAACAACGATCTCATCGTCATAATGGCACGGCCTCTAGACAGCGAGCCTCCAGCGCAAGTCCCACCATTTCCTTCCGGGCCGCCTGCTCCCACTGCTGTCGATGTTTCCTCAGTTGAACATCTAGATCACGCTTATGATCCACCATCGCGAAGAGCCCAGTCGCCCCCTCACACATCCGCCGAACAGTGTGTCGACGATGAGGAGGCTCGGAATAACGAAACACTGACATGGAACTCAGTTCTTGGTGAGATTTTAGCCAACGGTGCACTGAATCCATTCATGAGAGAGCGAGTCCATGAGCGCGTTAAAGCCAGCTCCTTTACTAACGGTATCGGACACGGCAAACGACCCGTGACAGCCCGAGCAGCAGGCCTGGTGCCGAACTTTAGTCGCCCTGTATACGGAAGCGGATTCTACTCGAGAACGAGTGTAGAACCTCCAATGAAGATAGATGAGGCACATGGGCCAAGTCCCGTAGGGGAGGATTCTAGTGAAGCTGCGCCAGAGAGCAACCTCCCTAACGGCACTCATTCCTCCGACAACCTTTACCGCTCTCCCACTCCTGCATCTGACTTCCCAGCCAATTTTAGTGACCTTCTCACAGAACACCTCACACCCGCCGAATTCTGCCTCTATAGCCGCCTCATTGGCCTCCCCTCCCCCTCTCATGACCCAACCAGCCCATCCTCCTCCTCAGCAACACCCCTCCACGCCTAGCTAGTCCACAGCCTACACACGCTCCTCCTAGGCCTACAAGAGCGCAACAACACGCTCAAAGAAGACCCCAAGCCGCAGCACAGCAGCAACCTCGAAGCCAAAAGCACGGCAACGCACGCACTGCAAGAAGACGTGGCGTTCCGGGAGGAGCAAATCATCGAGCTGAAGCGCTGCTTCGACTATGCGATCAAAGTCCTGCAAGGCTGCTGGGCGCGGGAGTGGGAGCTCTGGCGCACGCTGGCGGATATCAGGAGGAGGCATTTGGCAGCTGTCGGGCTGCTGGGGAGATTAGTTTCGCGGGGGGTGGGGAGGAGGATTGGGGAGTTGGCGGATGAAGAGGGGGCTTTGTATCGGGGGATGCCGGAGGGATATCCGCGGGGGTATGATGCTCGACAGCTGGGGTGTGAAGACTGGGATGAGGATGATGAGGGGAGGGGATCTGGGCGACGCGGTGTCGGGGAGAAGGAGTTGGATGCGTTGATGTTGATGGCGAAGCAGAATGTGGAGATTGTGAAGCTGGATGTGGGCGAGGTTGTGTATATGATGCGGGAGTTTCGGTGTATGGTGAGGAAAGCGGGGAAGAAGATGGAAGAGGAGCGGGAGCGTGAGAAGGGGGAGCCTGGGGAAGGGTCGTTGAGAGATGCTTGAGCTATCTTTTTTTCTGTATATGCGTAGTGTCAAGTTTTGAGTTGGAGTGCGTGCATGCATATACCAAACTATAATCTTGACGGTTTATCAAAGCTGAACAGCCCTCTTCCTTCCTTCTCTTTATCCTGCCACACCCATCCAGTCTTGCCCACGATCTCCGACGCGCCACTAGCCATTTGTCGTAGCGTATTCTCATCGCCATGGTTCGCCAGAAAGCGCTTTCCATCACTCTTCAATCGTCCAACAATATGGCCTCGGAGTGGACTCCCATCTCTCTCAAACTCGACCGTGTATGTCTGTAGCTCGTCAGCCTCATCACCCATTTTAGGCCTCTTAAAATTAGCCAAAAACTACATACCTCAACAATAGCATCACCTTCTGCTTTCACTGCCAATTCTGGAACTCCCACATCAGTGATCTGCTCTGGTAGCGGATTGACCAATGGATACCCCCCTTCCTTCCTCGGCTCATTTGATAATACAATGGCACACTGATAACTCATGACCCCACCATTACACAGCACAAGCCCCGTTTTCCCCTTGCTCTCTCTCAACGCCCTCGTCATGGCCGTGAGCGCGTGCATACTGTAATTATTGCCCGCGCCACCAAAACTCGTCAATCCACCCAACAGCGTCAAGCTCTTCTCTCCGCCTAGGATCGGTAATCCCAGATGCGTAGCAACCATCTTGGGAACAATGGGGAAACAAGAGTATATATCCAGGAGATCGATGTCGGAAGCCGAAATCCCAGAGAGCTCAAGACAGGTGTCGATGGAGCGAGATATACTGGGTGATGTGTAGAAGTTTGGTCGTTTCCAGAATTCATCGCTGTCTTTTGTGCTGGCGCCACCGAGGGGGTATATCCATTTTGAAGCTGGGATACCGAGGGTGCGGGCGAAGGAGGTGGATGTGAGGATGATTGCTGAGGCGAGGTTGACTGTGTTGAAGGCGTTCATGAGGAGGGGATCTGTTTGAATTGGGTAAGCAAGTCATGGCGACATGGATGCGAGTACGATGAAGCAAGCCTTTTATGCATCCATGCGTGTTGTATAGCAGAAAAGTATAGGCCGGGGAATTGAAGCCAGAATAAAACATACATGGAAAACAAATCATCCTGTTTCTTCCTCCGACCGTCCCAATAACTTCCTCACTATCTGCCTTTCCCTGATTCCATGCAAACTCGTTACGCTCTGCCACTTTTGAAAATTCGGCGTAGAGTTTTGCACTCTCGATGTGGTTCGCTTGCACACTTTGTCCACGGTGAGCACGAAATGCGTTCTCGTAGAGGGGGTAAACGTGTATCGGTGCGCCAATCTGATGCACCGCGCCCAGATCTATATATCAGAGCAGGTGAGTGAGTGAGCGAAGAAATAGAGCCGTTGCTAACGGAGAAAAGAGAAGAAGAATCACATACTATTGCCTAGATCACGACCGGTAGGTGTGAAGACCGAGTCTACGGCTTCAGAAGGGGCAGTCCAACCAGGTGGGGGAAGTTTCCGAGCTGCTGCACATGCGGATACTAGGGAATGCCAGAGTAGAGGTTAGCAATATATTCCTGATTCAACTTCCTCCCGGAACAAGATAAAGACTGAAAGAAAGAAAAAAAGGAATAAGAAATAACGAGTAGAGAACTACTCACAAGACGCCAACGCCTCCCCTCCAGTAACAACAGCAACCCTACACTCCCCCCTCGCCACCCTCTTCGCCGCCTCATCCACCAACTTCCCCGGCTTATCCCCCCCATGCTCCGAATACCTCTTCCACCCCACCTTCGCCCCAACCTCGAGCTTCTCCGCCAACAAGCCCGGCAAATCCGGATACGGCCACGTCCACGTCCTCACTACGTCGAGACTATCAATCGCAGCCTGGAGCTCCGCCACCGACGAGGAAGATGGAGGAAAGGCATCTTGCAAGGCTGCGTGAATGGATTCTAGCATGAGTATTGCAGGCTCTTTGGCGTCGGCGAGGGCGGTTGAGCGGTTCTTGATGTCGCCGACTCCAATGATTATGGGGATTTCGCGGGTGGTTGCCATGGTGGAGAGTGTCTTTGGGGAGGGAGTAAGGGTTGTGTTGGTGCAATTGTTCTCTGGGATGTAGAACAACTTGATGACCGTGGGCGACGGTAGCTTATATATCTATACTTGATTCATGTTTAGGAGCTTATGATCAGGACCAGAGGATATGGTCATTTTGGCGTCCGTAGACGCGCTTTTGAATGGGGATGAGAATGGGGTTGTGGTTTGCCGAGGTAACTTTGTCAGGATTGGGATGTTATTGTTCGGCGCTTTTAGTTGCACTACGTACGTACAGTCTGTAACATCTGATAGTATCAGTATGGCGCAGGTACAATTGATTTGTACATGAAGCTGCGGTTAGTTGAAATTGGTTGGAACGGGTACCTTTATAGCACGCGGTGCAGTTATCCAAGTAGCTTGTTATTCGCATTTCACAATCCAATCAACCAAACACCACCACAAAACCCAAGAGCGCACAGAAATAAATATTCCCATCCCGCATATCAACCATCCCACCCCCCTCCCTTCACGACCCAGCACTCTCCCTGCACCTAACAACCGAACCCTTGAAATACCTCCGATAGCGTTCAAAACCAAACCCACCCTCCTCCAACTCCCCACCCTCCGGATCCCCCGCCCAACAAACAACCCGACACCCGCCAACGCGCTCCCCGCCCTCGACCAACACCCGCTCACACGTCTCCCAGCGATACGCCGCCGTCTCGTACGCCGCGAGCCGCGCAAACCGGTCTGCAGAGGCGACGTGCCAGAGGACGCCTGTTACTGGGACGCTGCCGGTCAGGCTGGGCAGTAGGGCGGGATTGATTCCCCACATTTTGATGCGGTAGCCGGTGAGGGTGGCGGGTTTGGGGGAGGGGGGTTGGGGCAGAGCGAGGATGGATTGGAGAACTTCGGGGTCCATGAGGGAGCCGTAGAAGAAGATGGGGAAGGGGTGGAAGGGTTCATTGGGTGGGTTTGAGGTTGGGGGATTGGGGGGGTTGGTTGTGGGCTGGGAGGATGTGGGTGGGGGAGGTGGAGGGGGTGGGCGTGCTCTTGAGGGTTTGAGTAGGGGTGTGGGTAGGGGTGGAGGGGGTGGAGGAGATGGAGATGGAGGCGGCATTGTGGTACTTGGGATTCAAATCTTTGTCTTCCTGGTGAGATGAGGGTGGATGTGGATGCGGATGTGGAGGCGAAGGCAGAGGAGCATGGCCCATTATTGAAGCTACTACCATAAGCGTCAAAGTGCACATTCGCATTTATGACAAGACCGCTCTCTAATATTCATATTACAACAAGCAGCTCACCGCAACTGTTTCGCTCCCCAGCTCGCATGGCGCTTATTGCGGCGTAGCCCAGTTATATCCCACATGCACTGCAATGGTAGTAAGCCATCCGCGCTGGCCCCTCCCAACACCACACCACACCACACCAAGCATCTAAACAACAACCCTCTTCTAATCCCCCCAAAACAAGCCCTAAAAGAGTCTTGAAGAAGCCACACACCCTTTGTCCTCTTCCCTCCCCCCCCCTCAACCCCACAAACCACAAACAACAGCGCCAAAACAAGACCGCCCATCCACCCCAAAACAACAACAGCAAAGCCCTTCAAAAGAATATGCACATTCCATACCATCTCCTCACCCTTGCCCCCTGATTATCCCATCCATGTCTGCAAGTAATTACAAGCACAGCAAGAAGCCGTATCCTTCTTTCATCTTTCTCTTCCAAACTCAAGGCCCAAGGTCTCGAGGCCGGAGGAGCGAGACCTCGATCTCGACGTCGGAAAGAAAAAGCAAGGAAATAAGAAGAAAGCGGGAGAAAGCGACAGAGAGAGGAGGGAAAGAAAGAAAGCGTCACTATACACAAGCACACACGCCCGACCTAAAAAAAACATAAAAAGGCCAGACAAGGGGGGGGGGGGGCCTCCCCAGCCCCAGGAAAAAAAAAAACCAACAACAATGCTCGCTGTGGATCTCTCTCTCTCTCTCTCTCTCTCTCTCTCTCTACATGTATCTCCTACCCACCCTCACTCCCAAACGTGTCCCATGCTAACAACCGAGTTTTGAATCCCCTCCAAAATTCCTCATAGTGTCAGGGAAATAAACAACAACCGGGAAAAGGAGAAAGAAAGTCCGAGGAAAAGAAAACACCCCCCCCCCCAGAAAAGTAATACATGTTCTTTTCCTCTACATGCAAGTCCCTAACCTTTCCTTCTCAGCAGCGCCCCAAATCCTATCAGAGAAGATAGTAATCCATCCCCCAACCGCCCTTGTTGTGTCTAGAATTTAAACGTACTCTTCTTCCTGCCCAGGCTAAATCGATTCTTATTATGAGCCTCCGGAAGAGACGGCGGCTGTTCGTCGTGACTATTCTTGTGCCCATGATCATCTGCGCCATCGCTCTTGTCCGCTTTTGCCTGCCAAAACTTTGGTTTGCCTTTTAGACTGATGCTCGTGTGCCGGAAGCGGCTCAGACCACCTTTGCCTATGCTCGCGTGGCCATTGGCCGGTTTATCCGATTCGGCATGGGCCGTTGTCGTTGTTGTGGAACTCGTTGTAGCGTCCCCGTTGGATCCACCAGTCGTCCCTCGTTTCTTCTCTTCCTCAACCGCGGAGGCTTTGCTCGCTGCTAGGGCGGCACGTAAATCTTCTTCCTGTCTCCTGTAGTTTTCGCGGCGTTGGAGCTCCATTTCTTTGCGCTTTTGCTTCATTTGCTTTTCGAGTTCCTTTTCGGCTGCTTTGCGCTCCTTTTCTTCTTTGCCGCTTTTGCCAAAGAGCCCCAGGTTGCTCTTCTTCGGGGCGAGAGCGGGTATGGTGGTAGAGACGTGTTGGACCGGCTGGTCTTGGGTGTCGGCTTGTACGTGGGCGAGTGGTGGTGCGGTAGCTGCGTGATCGAGACTAGCGAATTGGTCGCCTTCTTCAACTGTGGGCGTGGTGGCGTTGTGAAGCGGGTGCTGCACGTAACCGTTTGCCAAGCCATTAGACTTTGGTGTTGTGACTACGGCTGCTTCTTGGTTCAACTTTGTAGCCATTTCTGCTGCTGCGAGACCCTCTGCTTCTTGTTCCTTCATCATGGCTTCTTCGGTGGTTTCCTGGTAGAAGAGAACGTAGGCGCACGCGAGGACGTTTTCGCCGCCGAAGAAATTCCGAACGTAGGCTTTGTCGACGGGCTCAACCATTTCGTCGTCGAAGAGTAGCCAGCCGCGATCCTGTGTCTTGATGATTGACACGTAATGACCGTGATAGGGACCGCCGCCAATATGCACCACGACTGCGTACAGCTCGTATAACCGATCTGGATCCTCGGCGTCATCTGTCGTGTTGAACAAGCGCAGGTAAAATGGATAAACGACGCGGTGGAATAGCTTCTGCAACCGTTGCAGATCCTCTGTATATTTGAACCTCTTTAAATGCAGTGCCAAAATCTTTGGTAGTCGCTTAATCTTCATGCGCTTCTCCGCCTCTTGTAAGCCACCACAATTGTCGCAGTGAAACTTGTTACGCTCGCACAACATCTCTTCCTCGGAGAATTTCCGTAAACAGCTGGTCACGGACGAGTGCTGCTCGAGATCGACGGACAGATCCAAGAAGATCTCGTCTCGTTGGGACGTATTCTCGCATGTCAGACATCTAGTCTCTGATGTCAATGTGCCTTCAAAAAGTTCATGTACCCAGCCAGAGTTCACCTTGGTGGGCGCTGGTGTATCTCGAGCGACGACCTCGCCGGAGGTAGTTGTGGTTCCGTTGGCCTCTGATTCGCTATTATCCATGATGCGGTTCTTGGAGTAGTGCTCGACGTTCTCTACCACCTCGTTTAGCAAGAGATTTAAAAACTCGTGTGCATCTTGGTGCATTGGTGTCCGAAACATTTCGTTGTCTCGCCGCAGAATCTCGAGGAGTTTGTGAGGACTGACGACGCCTATGCGTGATCTGTGTGCGATGACGGCCTCGAATATGTCTTTCAACGAGGAGAATAACGAATCCTTCATGCCATAGGCACTTGCATTTTCATAGTCCATTTGCAGTACAGGGCCTGCTGCCAACGCCTGCTTCTTCTTGTACTCTGGGGAATCCTTGTTGTCTTCCGGCTTGGTTCCTCCAGGCTGGTTCGGGCCACCAGGGGTCGTGGCTGGCTTCCCCGGTGTCTTGGACGTCGGACTCGACAACGAGGTCCGCGCAGCCGGTGACAGCGCCGAGTTTTGGCCATTGTTGAGGTTCGTGTTCAATCGAGGAAGCGCGGCCGATGCAGGCCGCTCAAGCGATTCTGGCGGCGAACGGGCGGGGAAGTTGATGACCTGTTCCCGAAAGGGGGCCGAGTAGTATAGGCATTGCACTATGGAGTTGCAGTAACTGGGAGAAGGGTAAGTGAGGGACACAGGCGATACAGATGGGCTAGATAATACCATGTGCTTCCAAACTACAGGGTGGGTGGGTGGTCAGCATACAGGCGTGGCAGAGGAGGAGAAGAGCGACGGGACTTACATTCTCAAAGCCAAAGAACTTGTCGCTGCCGTCGGTGCGCAATGGTCCAGCGTTGGCGAGCAGCTTCTCCAGCGGTGTTGGCTCGGGCGCGTTGGGGTCCTTCTTTACGGGTGCGGTGCCGACTGCTGGACTTGTGGGGGCCTGCAACAAACGACGTCAGTGTCGGCCATTTGTACGCCAGCGCGTGCGGTGGGGGCGCGCGTTCAATACATACAGCGCCCGATTTGAGACGGCCAAAGAAAGAGGTCATGAGTGCTTGGCCGGGCTGGGAGGGCAGAGGACGGTGGGACGTGCAAGAGTAGTCGGAAGGGGCATGCGGCGCAGTCGCTGGTCAAGCAGCGGACAGGTGGGCGTAGGCAAACTGGAGCGAGCGGGCGTGGACAAGTCGCGGAGTGTGATGGTTGGCTTGGGGGAGGGGTGTGGGCGTAGGCGTGGGTGTGGGTGGATGTGGGTGTAGGTATGGGCGTGGTGTGTAGAAGGAGCATGGGGAGAGAGAGAGAGAGAGAGGAAGAGGAAGAGAAATGAGAGATAGAGACAGAGAGGGCGGAGGAGCAGCAGTGCAGGATTGCGCTTCACGGTACGCAGGCCGAACGCGAGGCTTGGGCAACTAACGGCATCTACAGCAAGATGGGGATGGGAAGGCCGACGCGCAGGGCAAGGTTGCTGCGAACACTCGGTATATTCGGTATGGGGACTGGGGTCTGTTCTGTACAATGATATAGTATCATGGAAGCTGGTGTATCGTATGTAGCCGTTGGAACCACTTGGCATTCAGCCGTTGAGACTTGATTGGTTGAATGGACGATTACGTGTGACTTGCTGAGAAGTGGGCCATTCTATACCTGGAATACGTACACACAAATAGATACATTACGGTATACATACTCGTCTAGTCAGTCGCCAAAACCACCCACCTTACCCCTCGCAGTCCCCCGACAGTGTGGAGAGAGCTGGTACGTCTTCAGTATGGGCAGATACTACCTCCATATAGGATAGAGGCTGCCTATATACACCGTCCCCGGAACCTGGCACCAAGCGAACCCGTCTTTCGTCACCCAATCTCCTTGCACTCACAGCCACTGTGCAGCCAAACAATGTGGGGAGGGGGGGCCCTCTGATGCACCCTCGTTCAACGGCCGCCGTCTTCACACACACACACACACACACACACACACACACACACACACACCATCGGCCATCCACGACGGACGACGACCGATCACTGATGCTGATGAGCCCACATGCAGTCTGCCCTGATTTCCCCCAACTCTCCACCACCACCATCACCATCACCATCACCACCACCGCCTCCTCTTCCTCCTCCGCCGCCGCCGCCGCCGACGCACACCCAGACTCCATACCGCCCGCCGTGGTGGTGTCACCACCCACACCCAACTTGGTGTGCCTGACGCCTAGGAGTACTAACTCATTCCATTTGCCCCAAAAAATAACTCGCCAAGTTCCACCAACCACGTGCGATGCAGCCTCGAGCTCGCTTCTAGATTCAACACAACTGGAACTTCTGGAACTGGTCAACTCTGGCCCTAGCCTCCCTTCCCCGTTCTCGGGTCAAGCTTCCAGAACAAAACACACAGACACAGACACGTTGCCGCTAAGGCTGTAAAAAGAAAAGGCAGGCAACTGCAGACATGGGAGGTTTCACAAACAATACAGAGTAGGCTGGAGCTCACTTGATCTCACCCACTACTCTCAGTAGGTTTTGCGTTTGGCGGGCGCAGTAGAGACGGGGTGCGCATGCATGCTAGGCCCCCCCCATCAAACCAACCCGCACAGCACAGCTCATGTACCTATGCCAGCCGCCAACATCATCCATGTGCCCCGCAGCCGCCCCCAGTCGGTATTCCATCCGGTGGTCATGGTGAATGGAAACTGCTGAATAGAGGACAACCAGACCATTTCATTCCACCATGCCTTCCCCGCTTCCTCAACACTCGCTTGCTACCTGAGCTGCTCTAGTAGCAAGCAAGCATGCTCGACGCTGCAAAGGTATATCCCATCACTCACCCCTGCTGCACCCACGGCAAATGCAGAGGCTCGCCCAACAAAGTATGCAAACAAAAGACAAACAAAAAAAAATACAACAACATCAGCTTGCAAAGCCCCCATGTCCGATACTACAACCTCCGCAGCCGTTTGCTAGCGCCTAGTTCAATCGCAGTCCGACTGTTAAGAATCAGGTCCTCGTTCCCTCCTTCGGGCGGATTCGCCTGAATGTACTCTCGACGTATCCGTGCAGCTTCCTTGTCCCATGTAGCCACCCGCTCCTTGAAGTCCGCTGCATGCGCCGTCGCATCCTCTCGTGCATGGCTGGCTTGCTCGAGGTAAGGCTTCTTGACCTCCTCGCTTGCCATGCGCCATCGGAGCCCAATCGCGTTCCTGATCTCTTGTTTCGACGCCTTGGCTTCTGGGTTCCCCGTCGCCGCCTTGCGTGCATCATCCCCCTCCTGTTTGCAAATATACCAAAAGTCCTTGGTGTACAGCAGGAAAGGATTCACCCCCGTCCGGCCTGGCTTGATCGGCCGTTCACCAATTTCCGTCAGTATGGCTCCGATGATGGCAGCCTCATAGTCTTCGTCCCGCTGCACTCGCGCTGGCTTAGCGTTCTTCTGCGGTGATACCGCAGGTTCAAAGCGGCGTTTGCCATCCAATGTCGGAGTCGTCGAGGCCTCCACTTTCATCTTCTTTTCCACGAGCGGACTGGGTATCTGTATAGGCCCAAGGATCGTCTCGGCCACTTCGGCAGCAACTCGAAGACCTGACAAGTAGGCCCCGTGAACCGTCGCTGGATGTGTCCCACATGTAGCTTCACCAGCAAAGTGCAATGGCCCATGTGGCCGTGCCATGACATCATAATCGCCTGCTTGTGTCTGTGGCCCAACGTACGAGTAGCTACCGCGAGCATAAGGATCTCTCTTCCACCGTGTAACAATCGTTTCCGACGGAAGTGGGACGGGGTTGGGTGCGAACATGGAATCGAGTCTGTCGGTGACCTCTTTGACTAATTGGTCATTCGACGTCGCTTCGGCGTAATGAGCAGCATCGCCTGCCATCAGCGCAACGAGCACAGGCTTGCCACTTGTCTTGATGCAGTTCCAGAACAAGTAAAACCGCCCGCGTTTGGCTGAGTAGTCTTCAGGGCGCATGCTAGCGTCGATTTCTGCCTCATTGAGCAAGCCGAACATGTCTCGTTCTGGCTCCCAAAATGCCTTCTCGTAAACGAGGATGATCTACGCAGTTTGTCAGATCTGTCATTGCAACAGTAAACGAATACAGACCTTGTTGAGCAGGCCAAAACCCATGCGTGCAATGACGTCCTGCTTCCAGTCTGGAAGTGGGGGTTGAAACTCAACAGAACCAGACTTGAGCACGCCGAGAGGAGTGGTCAGGACGATCTGGTCTGCTTCATATGTTTCCCCATTGCTGCACTCAATCTTGACAGCTTTGCCGCTTTGGCTCCCGTCCGTCTGATAGCGAACCGTCCTGACTGGCGAATTGAACCGGATATCGAGCCTGCTTGGACTTTGCCATAGGCCTCGTGGAACCTGTTGGAAGCCCCCAATCACTTCCGAATGCTCGCCCTCAAACTCGTTCCCAATGTCTTGATCCCATCCACTCAGACTGAGTTGATTCACACTTACAGCATTGGCATACTCAAGATTAGCATGATGCCAACTAAGCAGACGCATGTCTTTGGGCTGCATATCGAGAATGCTCTGGTATTGTCGAAAACCTTCGTCCATGGTCTGTCCAAGCGTTGGGAAGTCGGAGCCTTTTGCGATGGTGTCCAGATCTAATGATTGTGAAGTGGAGGCTCCAAGTTTCAGCTTCCATCCCAGGCTCTGCATAGTCTCTGCTGCAGTGATGTCAGGATTGAAGCCAGCACTCAGTTGATATGCTCGTCCGGCCAGCTTCTCTACACCCGTCGTAGGCTTCTCCTCCTTCGTTGAGGCTGCATGATCAGCGTTCGCTAGCAGCGATACGTCGGCTTCCTCAGTTTGCGCAATTGTTGGGCCTCCGTTATCGCTAGGCTCGCGGCCGAACAACAAGAAGCTGCGGTCACCCTCTACCGTCCGTTGCACTGCCGGCTTGTTACGATAAACAGCTGCACGTTCTAAGACGTCATTGTATAGCTTCTCCACCAATATATCTTGGCTTCTCTCGACAACCGTCCCATCATAATAATATTAGAATGGTATTGTCGCGTAAGCCATGATAGGGAATGCCGAGTTGCCCACGGATGATCGTGATTAGGGGATTCCCATGCTCGAAACCTGTGACAATTTGTGCGCCCATCTCAGCAGTACAACGATGTCCTGGAGGGAGGGAAGAACTCGACTGGTTGAGGAAGGGATGTGAATACACCCGACCACCGACCCGAGGTCGAGCTTCAAGTATGACGATCTTTGGTGCACGCTCGCCTGCTTCTGTCAGTTGGTTACCAAGCTGAGCGAACAAGCCTTCCAGATGTCTCGCACAACCTAAACCGGACATTCCCGCACCAACTATAATGATTGTTCGTTGCAGACCAGCTTTAGCCTTGGATTTGGGAGTCGGGCCAGCGGTATTCGGTATCTCCACGCAGCCAAAGTTGATGTAACCATTTCTCAGCAGCCACATATACGCCACTTTGGCCAGTCCAAAGTGCCGCTTGTCGCGCGCACAGCCTGCTGCTTCTTGTAGAGACACATACACGAGCGGATTGCGATGCCATATCCGTAGTATGGCGTTTCTGATGTTCAAATAGATCGTCACCTGTGCTTGATTGATGTGTTCTCGCAGAAGCCGGTACTCTGCGGGATGGAGAGCGAAAGGGTTTAGTCTGCTGTTCTCTGCTGCCAGAATGCACTGTCGTCCAAACTCCTGCCATGATATCGTTGTAGGTATACTTGAGCTTGCTTTTAATTCAACCACCTTGCCGCGAGCTGGTGTGGAATTGGTCCTCCGGTGGACGCTGGGCCGACCAGCCATCTGAGGAAGTTCAGGAGTGGAAGAAGCATGTGATACACGATCCAGACTTTGCGGCGTTCTTGCCATGACACCAGCGTCTTCTTGATGATTTTTCAGTGGAGGATGCCGTTTTGGATCATGGGTTGCAGTACGCATATTCGGTTCAGCCTGCACGTTGTTTGTCCCATTCCCCATGTTTGACTGGGGAGTGAACGGATCCTGCAGCGGCGAATGAGCGTACATGTGTCCATATCCGTTGATAAATGCTCCAGGGGTAGACGCTTCATGATCGTCTCCGCCACTTATATGGCCAGTACTAAGCTCGGACGTATCGTGGGATTCACCATAGTGTACCGAGGACGTAGTTGACTCCCTGCCGTATTCCAGGTTACTAAGCCCGGTCATGGGAGTGATGCCGCCTTTCAGATGTATACTGTCACTGGACATTGGCACCGACAGAAGATCATCGTGGGATTGATCGAAGAGGTATGTTCCGTCATCGAGTGCGCTAGGATCGGTGGTGGATGCGAAGGTGGAGGTAGAGAACATTATATGATGATTGGAGGGCTAAGCACAGGAGGACGAAGCGCACGAACGCCGAGGAAAGGGCTATGTGCAAGAATGAACCATCCGGCTAGATTCGCTGGCAAATCGGTGATATGTGTGTAGAAAGACTGGATGGGAAATTGCAGTCATGTAAAGATTGGTTATCGATGGCGGGAGCGCACATGGTAGATGCGATGCCGTTCAAGCGGTCGACTGAGGTCGAGGCGTTGAAAAGGCGGATGTCACGTGTGTGCGGGCCGTATGCGTCGACGATAGCTTCCCTTGCGGTCGGGAAGGGGCTTGTCCACTACATCGCATCTCTCCGCAACGCTTCGCTGGACACTGGCTGTTAGGCTGGCTCTGTTTCAGGAACGATGGGCCACAGAAACGTACTGGCGATGGGGATACTTGAAGACTGGTCTCACGACGCGGTTTCCGCACGGTGAACTGTGCCTAGCCCGAAAGGTGGCAGAATCCCTCCCAACTCCCAATACACTCAAATGCGACTCCGCCACTGCTACACCCAGGATTGATTACCACAACGTAACTTGCAAAGGGACGAGTAGACTCCCACTCGATTGGGCCAGCAAAAAAATGGTCCTGACTGTTGACGCACAGTTTATCCGCATTGCCATGTTTTCTAGGCAGCAATCAGCCACCAGTAGAGTACACGGTCAGAGGACATGGATTGTCGTGAAAACTCATCGCTCCTACCTAGGAATAGCTTAACAAAAACATAGGGCAGGAAGCAAACTACCCGTACAGTTGAGGTGAGTGCGTTACAGTCATCAGTCTTCCTCATACATGACATGACAAGTACCTGGTACTGACGACACTATCCAGTTGATAAAGATGCTGCTGAAACTATCACCAAGCACCATGCAGTTAATACTATACACCAGTCTACGACTCCCAATCACCACACTATTGGCAACATCTGCATCCAAGTTCACACGGATACACCCATCATAAACCACCATATCTTTTTCTTCGATGACAAGATCATGGTATACTTGGTAGATTGCAGGATGTTGGCAATATATCTAGTCACTGGTCCATGAGTATGTTGGCGAGTCGCGACTCTACCATCCATCAATAGGATCGATGGGTACGAGAGAGAGCGGCAGCACCAACACCAGCACGGTGGAACAAGTGGACCATTCAGCGCGTGTCTATCTTTGGTAGCGCAACAGTGTTCTCGAGGGCCGGAATATCGAATAGCATCAAAGAGGCATGTGGCTGTAGAGTTTTGACCATGCTAATTGGAGCGATCTGCAAAGACTTAGTCTGGCCTCAATTACCCCAGACTGTGACATAACGAGGACCCCTGATTTACTCAATGAGTGACCATCGTCATCAAATACTCTACGATCTTCTGTGTGGTAACATAGTGTCCATCAAATCTTCACGTCGCGATGTACTCATGACTCGTAGCCCAACCTATTGAGACTTTATCACATCCATAATTACAAACTTCAACAACGACACAGTGCTATATGTGAAAGATGCTGGGCATGCCAAATTCTTCATAAAACAAGTCACATGGGGCACAACACGCTAGCGCGGAATTACGTCCTGATCCCGCGTTGCTGCTTCTTCACTTCCTTGAATTCTCACCGCTACACTCTTGCGACAGTAAACAATGCGATGGCCTTGGTCAGGCCATGACGAGGAAAAGAAGAGGAATGCCGCTACCAGATCAAAGCGAGCGGAGACAGCAAACTCCTGGACAGGGACGTTGTTAGAGTCGCGGACTCTAGTTCCTTCTGTCGCATTGACAGTCTCGACGGTTCTCGGACTGCGCCTCTACAAGGCGTACTTTCGGCGTATCCCAACAGTCAATCACATCAAACCCGATTATTTTCGACGCAGGACTCTGTTCGGCCAGGTTACGAGCGTTGGCGATGCAGACAACTTCCGCTTGTATCACACCCCAGGTGGAAGATTAGCGGGGTGGGGATGGTTGCCATGGAAAACTGTACCGACCAAAAGAGAGGCGCTCGTCAAGCAGACGGTAGGTCCTGTACTGATTCTATGGAGATTACGTCCTCGGCGCATCTCTTCTGATTGGATGCTAAAGGCAATACAGCTTCACATTAGAATAGCTGGTGTCGATGCACCGGAACTTGCCCACTGGGGACGCGAAGCGCAGCCGTACTCGAAGGAGGCCCTGGACTGGCTGACGCAATTAATCCTCCATCAACGAGTGCGTGTGCGCTTATATAGGCGCGATCAATATGATCGGGTGGTAGCACAGGTTTACTACCGCAGGTGGTTCTTCAGGCAAGACGTGGGATTGGAAATGCTGAAGATGGGGCTGGCAACGGTGTATGAGGCTAAGAGTGGGGCCGAGTTTGGTGATGTTGAGCAGCAATATCGTGCTGCCGAGGAGAAGGCCAAGGAGAGTAGGGCTGGGATGTGGGCAAAGCCAAATCTACTACAGAGACTGGGTGGGGCGGGGACAAAGGCGCCGGAAAGCCCTCGGGAGTACAAGAGCAGACACACGGCAGCAGAGAAACAAAAGAAAGCGGCGTGGTAGTTGTAAAGGAGAAGACCACGTTGAACTTGAGGTTGGGTGGTTGCAAGCACAATTCTGCAGATGGAGGGAAAGCTGCGTGCGAACTGTACATGTAAGAAGATGGGACCTACTACTACTACTACTACTACTACTACTAAACTTATACATGCATACACTATATGTACATACACAGTGCTATTACTCCTCCTACCCTGTGGTACAGAAGAGCAACAGGACATGACTCGCACAAAAGCATGGAGATCGCAAGAGAACAAGTTCATCCAAGACGTAGATCGTCTGAGTCACTGGACAAGCAGACTTTGCAGTGGAGGTGAAGATGGCCAAGGACAGACCAGTCATTGTTGAAGCCAATCGAAGTTGAATTTTGGGTGCGATTTGCCCTATGATTCACGATCGCAGCCACGGAACCCATGTTCCCTCCCCAGGCTGACGGAGACGTTGCAAGTGGACAACTACACAACAGAAAATTTTGATTCCCGTCCAAGCGTTGGTCTTTGTATGTAGCGCCGCGATCGGTGCGACGTGTAGATGAGTGAAGTGTGGCTCGCGTGGTCTGATGTTTGCATTTGCTGGACAAGAAAAAGGCATGCTATGGTGATAGTTCCATAGGTAGCGAGGATAGACCAAATCTGGCCTTGCAGCAGAATGCTTTTTAAAGACTTCGCCCTCGGCCATGGTAGGAACTGGCTGCTGGCTCGACAGCTTTTGTTTACTGAGCGACCATGATCCTGTCCCATGACTCTCCTCCTCCCTCCTCCACCTCCTCCTCTCTTGT